AGCTTTGATAACTTCATCAATAATGGAGGTCTCATATTTCATCCTTTTGACCTATGCCCCTGCATTAGCCGCCTTTTGGCAAAAGTCTTTATCTAGTCTGTACAACCGCCTCGTGTACTTTTAGACATTCAAGAAGCAGCCTTGTAAGTTAGCCTACAAGGTGATTCTTACCTCCATCATGTAAATCGAGACACAAATCTTGGCATAAGAGGAATATTTTCAGTCAAATACTTGTGATGTACTCTTGTTGCCGCTTGGACCTCGATGTGGAGCATCTCCAAAATGGTGAGGGCTAACTCATCTGAACTCCCACCTAAGGAAATTCTAAGCTTTCCCATCCGAAGGGCCTCCATTGGGAACTTAATTTACCCTCTCCCTTTTAATGAGGTCAGACTCTTCTTCAGACTTGTCCTCAGGCTGAACTATTTTAACATCTGAGATGGGGTCTATTGAATAGGCTTATTCATCGACTCATCAATAGTAGTTTGTCATTTCGGTAGCAGTGGAGGCTCGGTATTTCCTGTAGTCACTAGCCCGAGTGTAAATTTTTACCCACTTTATTTCTTTATTTGTGTGATTATGTGATATGTCTATCTTTAAATCTTTTAGGGTCTTCTCCCAGAGGCTCCACTTTCTCATTTTCCTTATTCTTTAGGAAGAAGGGAGTTCAGCTTCGATAGACGAGACAGTTCATCCTGCTAGTGCTTGTAGGATGAGGTGTTGGTGTCGAGGGACTTATTTTTCTTGGTCATGCCCAATCGCAACATATTAGAGTTGACATTTCTTTCTTCTTATGTTGTTTTGCAAAAGATTCGAAGCAGTTAGCTCTTAAAATGAGTTGGCAAAAAAGGTACATGTACATGAATATGCTATTCACCTTTAGTGGCCATCAATAGATGTGTGACATAGAGGGATCGTTTCGTGATAATAGATTTGAAGAAACTCTTCTCAATATGCAATTTATATATGTCTCGAACTATTGCCCTTTCTTCTGGCTCAAGCTCAAACTGGTTGACTGCAACTACATGAAAACTAAGTTAGGGAAAAAAATCTAATTAAAAGTGACAAATAACAAAAGCATGATAACAAGAACACACTATACTCATGATACTGGATTGACAATGTTATTTTCCAGACCACATCGTCCTCTACAGTCTACCATCAACCTCTCACCTAGAACCAAGATAATTTCCAGTCCTAATACAGGCCGAAGTACTTTATATGAAGGATGAATATGATTCTCAAGGGTTCATACAATATCTTCCCTTGAAATATTTTCCCTACTAGAGGCTTGATGTAGGAGAACGCTTAGAAATATATGAAAAGACATATTCTCGCCAAGAATGACCTCTTTCCAAAGAAGAAAGGCCCACCGACAATTGGCTTCATGCATAAGGAAGAAGTTGAGTGGGCTTTTGATTGTATTACCCCAAGTAGGAATCTAAAAATGGGTGCAAATGCAACCTCATGTTGGCATAGAGAATCTCCTCAATAACCTCAACGCACCCTTCCCTAAAAAAGCAGGCTCGTTCATCAAAGGCTGGAACAAACATCTCCACGTTATCTAGGATCCTAAAGCGTTCCCTAAACAACACCAGTTCATTTTCTTTAACACAAGTAGGCCACAAAGAGGCCCTCTACCTAATACTATAGTCGATTGGGATCTTCTGCATTATCCAACCACTATAAGGACCCTCCATTGCCTCCATAATTCTCTCGGTAGGGATTACTAGTAGTAAAATAGTCTCAGAACATATCATGGCCATGTTTGCCCCCTTGGAAGAAATCCTTTTGGTTGTCTTTTTTGAAGAAAATGACATTTTTACTACTTTAGAAAACAAAAAACTTAAAGAAACTAATTTATGACTTACATAAAAACTAAATAAATTGACCAGAAAAAAGAAAGTTTGTTGCCTGATAAGAAGAAGTTCAATACTGTCGAAAAGATGCAAAGAAAGTTGTACTTGCTTAGCAGTTTTTTGCAAAAGTGTAAAAAGAAGAAAAATACTTAATGCCTTCTTATATAGGCGATTTAGACGAGCCACAATCGTCAGATAAGCAATTCTTAAATTTGGGACGTACACTTGTGTCCCATTTGAACTGTCAGAAATCAAAAGGCAATTTTTTAGAGTTGAATGAGTGATCAAGATACCTTGGGATCTGCTAACCACTATGAAGGTACAAAATTTGAGGTAAGCAAAACTTTTAAGCATTGTAAATTTTACATCTTTGTTTTAGTTATGATTTTATTTCTTGTCTATTTTTCGATAGTTGAAGTTAGTGAATTGTTTAGTCTATTTCGAATGATATGTTTCAGGTTTTCAAGATTGTATTTCAATCGATGAAACTATTACTTTTTTTTTAAAATGAAATGACTAAAGTATTTTGGTATAAATAAATTTTTATTAGCTTGAGAAAAGAAAATATTATTCTTGAAACGATCTATTAAGATTACTTTTTTAAAGTTTTTAAATTAGTTGAGTCCCCCGTGCCTATTGTCTAGAATTTTTTATTTTACTAGACTAGTTCTTGTTTGGTGAGGATTACAATTATATTATTAATGGATTTTATAAAAATTAATGAAATTAGTGATTGAAAAGTTGTGGATTTCATGGAATATGTGGTTAGAATTAATCATTCAATTTGGTTTATATTAAAATTTTAATTTTAATCTGACCTGAATTTAAGATTTTTCATCGGGAATAAGTGGCTACTTTCAACAAAATGAGAGTCACATGTACGTGACTGTAAAGTCAACCATTTTTCTTACAATTCACTTTCAATGGGAATTCCGAGTTTATACTTTATGTATAAATACTCTATGCACATGGCCATCAAAGGTATTGCGTGAAATTTTTATTTGGAAATAATAATCAAATATTAAATTTTTTTTTTTTTCAATTATCAGGTGATTTATGAAAACCATGGTCAACCATTCAAAGTAGTTTATGGATTAAATTATTAATTAAACAATTAATGCCGCTTAATACAATATCTTACAATTAATTAAGATCAGATATAATTATCATTTGGAAAACAAATTTAATTGTATGTTATATTAGGCTTATTTGCTAAAAGATAGAATGAAATCAAATAATTTTATATTAAGCTACATTAGTTTTGATCTATTTCTCTCTTCTAACAACTTATAACAAAATTGCATCAATAACTGCCATAAGATTGATAAAATTGCTTTTTATCGACTTTACTTTCAAAAAAGTAAATATTGACTAATTGACTAATAAGTAAATAAAAAAGTAGAACCCAAAATTTTGTTCAACAAAAAATACTCACAAGCATCTTTACCCCATAACAAGAACACTGTGCATCGTCCCCAGGGCACATCTCCAAGTGGTAAAAGGGGAGAGTGGAGAAATCCAACTTTACTTGAAACTGCTGCGTCAAGGGTTCGAATCTTGAAATATGGATTTGGCTCTTGGGTAAATGCAAGTGTACAAGCAGTCTTCCATCCTGTACCCTTGGAGGCATAACCTGCGATTTACCTTTCTCACGATACTCCAGGGTAGGGGTGGTGTGGGACCCTTAAGGTTAGGGTTTAACCTTTTTAAGAACACTGCACATTGATTCACCTTCGATTCAATTTACAAGTGCTTTTTAAAAATAAATAAAATAAAATAAAATTATAATAAATATACTATTTGATATATTATGCTATACTCGTTATTTCAAGAAGTAACTTCCGCATAAGATACAATAGATTGACAATAATGAAAAAAGTTTAAAAATAAAAAAAGTTAGAACTCTATCTATTGTAATGTTCAGTCATCTTTAGTACTCATACCGAACATGCTCCATATGGGGCACTGCAATTGAAATCAACACATTGCTCCGATACTCAAAACATACCTTCCAAGAAACTCCAAAAGAAGAAAAGAAAAGCGATCACTAACAGCCTTAGGCTTTCCGATGCAAACATATTTGTCTTCCCCCTCTCTCGCTTTCTCACTTCATTATATACTTGTGCATACCATTAAATTTTCTGCTAGATACAGAAGCAAAATTGTTTGATTCCGTTTGCACCAGCAAAGAATGTCTACTAACTGGAATAAGTGAAAAACAACATTAGAATGCTTAACCCACAACCCCAAGAAGGCTTGTGTGCATTGCATTAGCATCACCTACCTCAAACCTCTTTTCTCTTTTTGCACAAGTTGTCCCATTGACAAAAAGTTAAAGCAACGGAATCATATTATGTCCTGTTTGGTACAAATTTTTGCAACTTAATTTTTTTTCAAACTCAATTTAACTATACATTTTTTCGAAAAAAAAAATAAATAAATAAAAATTATGCATTGATCCATATCGTTTCTCCACTTTTAAACAACATATTCTAAAAAAATAAAAATATCAAATTTCAAGAAATTTACATCAAACAGATCCTATATCGACCTAGTATTCTTACAAATAAATGTTTTTTTTAAGAGGGTTCATGTGATCCAAAAGCCAAACATGATGTCATTATTGTTTTATTTTTGAGTGATGCTACATTAAATGCAGGAGAATAATCCTTTATTTTTAATCATGAACATATGTACACATAACCCTTATACACTGTAAATTTGTGTGCTTGTGTGCATTTCTTATTCCGTGCTTGTTTGAAATAGATTAAAAATCTCATAAAAATTAAAGTCAAAATCAATATTTAATATTAATCGCAAATTTCATGATACCCAAAATATTTATAAACTTTTTAATTACACATTCCATCGTCATTTTTTTCTTTTTCTTTTTTTAAATAAAAAGTCGCTAATTTTTTTTTTTATCAAAATCTTTGTCAAATAACTCCTCGGTAATGCTCACTAGGAATTTATTATCAAAATCCACATTTTCCGCTTAGAAAGTTTTGAATAGATGAAAAATGTGAGAATGCGTGATTGAAAATGGGTATGAAAAAAAAAATGAGTTTTGAAATCAAATAGGGGCTAAAGATGAATTACTAGAAATTTGTGTGTTAATTTGTTTGAAATGACAATCAGCTGAAGAATAGAAAGATGGAGGAGAGTTTACCTGGATTAAATATTTGTAGAAAGAATAAAGCATAAAGGGCAGTTCCTTTTGACAATATATTCATTTTAACACGAAGGATTAACGCTCCTGCCCTCTTCACTCCGTGCTCTTTGTTGCTGCCGTGGCTGCGAGTGTGATGCCTGTGGTTCCTCAGGCTGCAGCTGAATTAGCTGCTGTAGATGATGATGAGGAGAAGCATTCTCTTGCGGCTGTTGCTGAAGGAAAAACTCATGTGGCTGTGGCTCAAGCTGAAGCTGGTGAGAATGTGAGTGATCCTGTGCCTCCTGCTGGATGTGATGTAGAGGGTTGTTTTCATAAGAACCCAACGCCGAAGAAGAAGGCGGTGGCATAGCATTTTCATCTGAGATTTGAGCAAATCCGGTGGCAATCACTGGCCCTCCGGCGTTATCGAACCCACCATTATACCTCACTAAATCATCCTGCTGCTGGTGTTGGTGCGGTTCATAAGTTACTGCAGCCATTTGCTGCGCATTAAGAATCTGCTGCTGCTGGTGGGGATCCCGAATCATCAGCTGCGCCGAGTGTGAAACTCCTGTAGGCATAGCCATCATCGGTTGCATATTGTACGGCATCGCCTGAAAAGCCGAAGCCCCATAATTCGGATACTGCTGCTGCAGATTCAGCATAGGAAGCATGGCTGCAGGCCCAATATAAGTAGCCAATTCTTTCTTTGAAGTAGCCAAATCATTATGGACTTGCCTCAGCTTGTGCTGAAGAGTAGAAATTAGGCCAACGCAGCCATAAACAGGATCACAAAGCCGGTATTCGGCCTCATACGCCAGCGAATTAACGGCATCCTCTCGTTGGCTGGCGTTGAGTTCATTGAGAAGTTTTGCCACTTTACTCGCCCCGAAAACTTCGTGAACATTAGCAAATTTCTGGGGGTTGTCAGGCGAAAAATATGGTGCAAACACACACTCTAGCGTGCACTTTCGCCGGAGAAATTTGCACGCTGCACATGGAGAGGTTGTTGAAGACATTTTCCTCTTCTTTACTTCTAATGAGAATATCATTAATCATAAAAATAAAAACCATTAATGAACATGTTTATAAATATTCACTTAGCACATCTATATCTGTGTAATTTAGATATAATAATAAACATTAAATGTGTATTTAATCAAAGAATATATTATATTCAGAGAAGTTTCATTTACAGATTATAAAGAATTCTCGAAACAATTAATGCAAGCTATGATTTGCATCCAATATTAGATCGTATTGTCTAATTTAACTTGCTAAAGATACCATTGAAAGTCAATAAATTCATAGTTAAAATATCAAAATCGAATCTCAATCAAAAAGTAAATAATTGTTTATTGAAACAAGAGAAAAATGATCTATAAAATTAAGGAATGGAATCCATTAAATTACCTTCTATAGAACTTGATCAACTTAGAAAGCAGGAAACCTTTTTGTGCAGTGAAGAATTTTCCAGATCCGAAACAAGATCTTTCCTTATCTTTAACCAAACCTAATCTCAAAATATTCAATACAAACAAGAAAGAAAGAGAGATTGAAATATTCATGAAATCTTTACCTTGGATTAATTATGTTTGAAAATCCGATTTCAAATCTGTAATACTTTAATCCTCCCGGATGAAACAATCGAAAAAGAAAAGATGAAAACGAAGAATCGATGTTGATTTTTGTCGAAGAATCAGAGAAAAGTTGAAAACGGGTGAATTATCCTTCGGTTTATCGGAGAAAGTGGAGACCTAGGGTTCGAGTACGTGAGCTCTTGATCTAATCTTCAACTTCTGTTCTGCAATCCCAAGAAAATTGAAGGGAAAAAAAAGAAAAGAAACCTAATACTATAAAATTTTCACATTTTTTTTTCTCATTCAAACAAGAATCAGATGAACTGTTAAAAATCAGAAAAAATAAATTATACCAAATGTACAGAGAAGTGGAGATCATTGTCACTGAGTACTTTAGATACAAAATGTCAATGTAGAGAGATGTGTGTATATGCGTGTTGTATATAGGAGTTTATGAGATTCCCTAATGCTAGTGGCGTAATCTGAACCGTCCACATGTATAAGGAGAATGCTCTTGGCCGTTGGATTAAGAAATGCGATTAGGGTTTGTTAGTATATAGAGACAGGATTGGGTGAGGGAGAGGGTTAAGCATTTTTAATTTATTTTATTAAATGAGATAATGATTTGGTATTCTTATCAAAGCTTTTTTCTAAATATATAAAAAGAATTCGTTATTTTCATTCATCATTTTTACATATTTATCTAATTTTTTTTTAAATCAATATGCATTTTTAACTTTAGTAAAAATTACTTAAATATGCAAAAATAAACACAATTTTCATCATAAATTAACCCACTAATATTTAAACACTATATAACGATATTCCTATATTTTATTGCAGAAAAAAATTGGATTTAATCAAACTTCGAACCAAAAAGTAGCCCAATGTAGGCTTATTCCATTTGTACAGAAAATGGAATCACAGAATTCCACCAGAAATCTAACGTGTATGGGCCCATGTGATGATAAAAAATCTCAAAAAAAGTGGAAATTACAGCCACTAAGGTATTTTAATTTCATATTTCATTATTAAGTAATTAGATTCCTTAATTCAGAAATCAGGTCGTAATTAATTATTTATCAACATTTTAATATATATATATATTATCTCTAACCGTTCCCACTTTTTAAGTTAATAGTAGAGAGAAATTTTTTTAAATAAGGGAAAGAAATCTTTTTAAACCGTTCAAACGCACTCCACATTTCTCCACGATCAACCGTGATATAAGATACGTACCCTAAATCTAAAACCGGTCTTCATTTATCCTCTCGCTTCCATATTTGTGACCCGAAGTTGAACAAAGTACTCCAAGGGTTTGGTAATAGCAAAAACCCGGAGTTGTGACCGGAAATCTCAACAGAAAATAGACAGTCCCTCTGGAAGCCATCAACGAAACACCAAAAGTCCACAAGTCGGTAAACGTGACAGCGATGGAACCCCGAAAACCTCGGCCGAATCTCAAAGTTGAAAATCGAATAATGTAAGTATTCTCTGTAGTCTGTTGAGTTAAATGGGCATATGGGTAATTTATTTTTGAACTCCCTGAGTGACTTTGAACGGAGTAGTGCTTTATTGATGGGGGAATTTTCAATTTTTGACATGTTTTATTGGTAATCCTTGTCTGACTCAATGGTGTGAAGTGAAATTTTTCGATTACATTTGAGACTCAACGGTGTCATGTGCTAAATGGTTGTGACCTATGGGATTGTGACCAATTTTTGTGACATGCAGATTTGTGACAATGGAAATTGGCATATGTTATTGGATATGGTTGTTGTACATGTTTTGAGTGATTTTTGAAATCATACTGGTAACACGTGTGTCACAATTTTTCGAATACACTTGTGACTCAATCAGTGTGTTGTGCGAAATGGTTGTGACCTGTGTGATTATATGTTTTATGTCTCGATTTGCATGTGTGCACGATAAAGGTTTTTGACATCTGTTTCTAATTTTTATAATGTCTTGCAGGAATGGAATTACATAATCCTCCACCCTGATAAAATTACAATCAATGTGACCAAGAATGTATTGACCAACTTCAAATCAAAGTTCACAGATGAACAAAATGTTATTCTAGCAGACACTTGTTTTACCTTTTACATGGATTGTCAGGAAATTTTGGTCCAGCCTCAACTGATACACTACTTTTTGTTGAGGGAAGTGAAACAACTGAATCCCAATGAGATGTGGTTCAAGTTGCAAACAAATATGTTCCATTTTCGTTGTCTGAGTTCTGTGTAGTCACGGGTCTGAGATGTAACAATAAGGATGCCAAGCAAAATCTCGAGCATATTCCTTCCAGGATTAAGGGAACGTATTTCGAGAATTTGAAACTAGTCACAAATGACGATGTGCGTGATGTATTCATGAACTTATTAGATGCAAACGATCATGATGTTGTAAGTATCGGGATTTTATACTTAATAACGTATTTCTTGTTCTCCATGTCGTAGAAGAAGGTGGTCGAAAACTACTTGTTTGCCTTAGTAGAAGACTTTGCTGCGATGGAATGGTTTTCCTGGGGTAAAGAGTTGTTTGAGATGTCTATAAAATCTTTAAAAGAGGGTTTGGGTCATAGGAATCCCCACTACAGGCTGAAAGGGTTTTTGATTGCATTTCAAGTCTGGATTTACGAATCAATTCCAAGTCTTACTGGACTTGTAACCAATAGGGTGGGGAATAGGCATCCCTGCATGGTGAATTGGGCATCGAACAGACAACCTTCTACAGTTAAATTGGATGAAGAGGTCTTCTCCAAGCCTGATGTAAGTGTGAAACTTTTGGTTCTTAGTTGTTGTTCATTGCTACAGTAGTCAGATATTAATGGTCACAACATATAATATATAGTGTGAAGGTCACAGTTATGTTAACGTCAGCAATACATGAATTGGTCATTGCATGTTTCACAGATCACACACGTGAAACATATCCTACATTCATCATGTGATGTCATCAAGTTTCCATCGCACGATAATGATACTTATTATGCTTACGTCACAAAAACTTTGATAATCAATATGTTCTTAGATAACTAATATGATTGTTAATTATATCACTGTTGCATATTGAAGTTCATTACATTGTTCCGTCTGATGATGAGATGGTAGCTCCATATATGATAGGCATTTTGTATAAGAAACCTTTGCAACCACATGCGCGAGGGGACATACAATGTGGAGATACGGGCGATGCAGGCACGAGTGTCCCTATCCAATCTCACACACCTAAACCACGGTTGTTAATGATAATAGATGGATATAAAAGGCATTCGAGCGATATTGAAGATGACGACAATGATGATTTTGTTGATACACCACCGAGAAGGAAAAAGACTCCTTCCCATTTCCACCCACCTACTGAGGAGCATGCAACGCGGGAATATTATCCTACAGAGCCAGAGGGACATGACATCCATACTTCAGCCCAGTCGCAAGCTACCCGTACAGATGATGAACCACAACCAGCTGTACGTTATCTAGTATATTTATTTCTAGAGTCACAATTTCTGATATTATGTCACAATCACAAGTCACATAATAATGTGTTATATTGTCAAATCACACATATTTCAACGAGCAGTAGACCTATGTGTACAGGTCACAGATTTGCCAAATAAGGTCATGGACTAATGTCTGCAGTTTATTAAGAAATATGATTTTATCTCACATTGTTGTGTCACAAGTCACAAACATATGGCTTATACATTTGCACTGGTCACAAATCACAACCATGTGACATACCCATTTTGCAATTATTAAATTACAAGTGTTTGACAAGTTGAGAGAGGAGTTATGTGGACAGATGATCGAACTCCAGTATAATAATAAAGAGTTAACAATGCAGCTCAAGGAGCAAAAGTCATAACTATTAGACTTAAAACAAGATAGGAACAGTCAGATTGATCAACTAATCTGTGTCCAAGGTGAAATTCGATTGGACATGATGGAAATAAGGTCGAGCATGCCATTCTTGTCCGATTCCATTACTGCTTTAATATCGAGTACGATGGATGCAATTTTAGCAAAAGCAACTGAGAAGAGTGAAACTCACAGCGTTGGAGATGCACCACAACAGGAGAAGGTATGTAATTCTATAATCAAAATTCTTTTTTGATGTCACTATCTTAAGTTGTTTATTAATATTTGTGTTACAACAGGTCACAGACATTGAACAAAATATCGATAGGAAAGGCAATAGCAAGATGGACCCAGCTGACGAAATTAAATATCTGTCCTTTCCTCCAACCCTGTCTTTCGACTTAGGTGTTGCTTCAACACCAATCATTTCTAATGAGGTTGATGTCATTATAGCTGGTGTGGTAAAGGACTGTGAAACTGAGGAATAGGTTGATGTAGCGACGATGACCATAAGTGAGGACCAAGTACTTCATATCGCGTTGCATACATTTATAGGTCACAAACACCTTACACATTGACTTGAAAATGTGGCACTGAGCGCAAATCACCTTTCATTCTTACACGTGATATTATTAGATACTTGTGTATACGATATATGTCACAAATATTTATC